GGTCTCCACGTGGTCCCCACGTGGTCCCCACGTGGTCCCCACGTGGTCCCCACGTGGTCTCCACGTGGTCTCCACGTGGTCTCCAGAGCCACGGAGGAGGCGACACATTTCTTTTGGGCATTGTTGCAAACTCTCAGAAGTGTTAACACATTTTTTTTATTGTTCGAAGCACCCTGTACAACGCCAACGAGATGCATCGTGAGGTTTGACACGCAAAAAGAAGTACATCTCCTCTAGTGGCATAACGAAAAGTCGCGGCGAAAAGTTAGAGCGATTCTAAAATAAATCACGCTCAGTCTTCTTTCTTCGTTACCTATCTATGATCGTTGTTGTTATTATTATTATTATGTCTTCCCAATTTCCTCCTTCCGTTGTTTCAAATCAACGTCGATTTTGTTACGCGGGAAAAAAAAATCCCGTGTAGCCATTTCCCAACTAGTTTCAGTGACGGCGGCCCCCAGCAGCAGATTTATCGTTGGCGTGCACAGGAGCCCCGCCAGCAGCCAGCCAGGAAAAACTCGATGCACAAATTATGTTAATAGGGGTGTGACGTAAGTAGGTGGGGGGGTGTGGTGGCACAGTGACTCTGGCTTGCAGCCACTGACAAAAATTGTTATTGTTAAGGTGCACAGGAGCCCAGCCAGCAGCCAGCGATGCAACTCGACGCATAAATTATGTTAATAGGGGTGTGACGTAAGTAGGTGGGGGGGGGGGTGTGGTGGCACAGTGACTCTGGCTTGCAGCCACTGACAAAAATAGTTATTGTTAAGGTGCACAGGAGCCCAGCCAGCAGCCAGCGATGCAACTCGACGCATAAATTATGTTAATAGGAGTGTGACGTAAGCTGGGGAGGAGCGGAGGCACAGTGACGTCACGCGCGCCTCGCAGCCCATCATCCCTCCCTCCGGGGGTCGATAAAAGAGAGGAACCGCTCTGTAGGCGAAGTCAGCCCGCCAGTAGGTGCGTGGAATTTCCACCGCTGGCTCTGCAGGGCGATGTCTCGCGCAGTAGAGACGAGCAACTGCAACCTCAGCGATCACGTGAGCGGGCAACCACTTACTTGGTAGCGATTGACGATGACGATGATCATGATGATGATGCTTTTGATCATGGCAAAAACATCTGCCAATCAACTCAAAGTCGCGTGAAGATGATTGGAACACAATCCATCAGTGGGCTTTGTAAAGGCGGAGCCACGATCTTATCCACTGCCGGGCGAAATGCCTCCCCAACGCGTCGCTATCTCCTGCCGCGACCACAATCCGCCTAGCCGCTCGGCACGAGCTCATTCCGTCGCTCCATCTCCTCCGTGGACGTCGCCCCTCTCGCCCCTCTCGCCCCTCTCGCCCCCCGCCCGCCCCCCTCTCTCTCGCTGGCGTTCCGCTCCCTGGCTGCCACTCGGCCGTCTGAGCCCGCTGGCGTTCCTTGACAATCGCTGACGACGACGACGATGACGAGGTCTCCACAGTGACTTAGTGACTGCATTATCAGCTCGTGGGGGGCGGGGGGGGGTAGGCCCCCTCCCAACCCCCCAATATTTCAATTTGTTTCGCACGATCGTCGTACCCAGGCTATTGCGTCTCGCGGTTAGTCGTCTTGCCCTAATCCACATCATCGTCGTCGTGCTCACGGTCTTGAACATTTAACGCTGTATCGGGGGGGGGGGGGGGGGCAAGACACCCGCTGCCTGCCCCCCACGCTCATCACTCCACTGGGTCTCCAACTTGCCCGTGTCCTCCCATCCGCGAGCTCCTCTGCCATGCCTCTCTCTGCACGCAACATCTCCCGGAATACAGCAAAATAACTGCAGAGAGAGAGAGAGCTCTCTCTCTCTCTGCAGTTATTTTCCCCTTGCCCTTTTATTTTTTTACACCTGATGAAGGAAGCTTGCGTTGCCTCCGAAACGTCGTGATTTAATTTAGTTGTTTTCATTGATTTTAATTTTATTTTAATTTACCTACGCGACTTTACCGAAAAAAAACAAAGAGTATGAATCCTTGCAGTCACGAAAGCTTCAAGTCTAGAACTCCCGGAATGTACAGACATCTGCAGGCTTCCATGCGTCCAATTACACCGCGAAGAATGTCGATCACATCAAACCAGTTCCACTTTATTTTTTGCCATGCAATGAACGCTGCTTTAGGTGAGGCGAATGGTTGGGAGCGGTGGCGCAGTGGTTAGCGCGCCGCGCAAACGGTGACCTCGCTTGGATTCCCAGCCACGGCTGGCATCGGTGGCGAGTTATGAAATTTTTACCCGGAACAAGTTCCCGGGCAACGCTTCCTCCTTTTCTCACCAACCTGCACTGGCCAGAGTGGTGAAGTATGGCCAAACAACCTCTACCACCAACAACGCCATGGGGGTCGGGGGGAGGGGTGGGGCCTTCGTCCAGCAGTGGATCGACAAATCAACTACAAATGCATTAGGAATAGGTTTTACCCTTTTAACTGGCACAAAAACTGACACCTTTATTCAAGGCATCATGTTTGCAATAACCACAAATGCATTCTTATTATTCCTATTGCGCTGCTTTTATTGATTGGTACATTTTGGTAATTGCGTGACATTTGGTTCATTTGTTCCAGTTGTGTTGGTTGCATCGCGTGAGTGTTGTGTCGTAAAGGCCTCCTCCACCGAACACAGCTGATGAATAAAGTTGTCGCGTGATGAGCAAAACGCGGCCCGTTTTATCACTGCAGAGCGATCTCGCAAAATTGAAATGGATAGTCCGACGTTCCGCTGATAGTTACCACAACCATCATAATCATCAGCAGCAGGCAGCTGCCAGGACGCTGGTTGTGTAACTATCGGCGAAACGTGATGCTGGTTGTACAGAGTTGACATCGTGATTATATTCATCACAATAATTCTCAGCGGCATTGATCCAGTACAAAGCAAAAACTCTGGACCGGTTTTCGACACTCGGTGTCTCATCAGCGGTGTCGGGCTATCTCTGAAAGGGGCATCTGTGCGTCCGAGAATAACCGGTCCACAGAATATTACTGCTGTTGTTGTTGCTATTCGGTGGAGGATGTGTTCTTCCAAAGTTTAAAGTT